TGGAATTGATAGAATCTGTAAATAGGAGCTTTTACAGCATACCTCTAACAGTGGATCCTTCTAAGGTCTCAGCCGTTCAGAACTGGTCGACACCGAGGAGTCCGTCCGAGGCTCGCAGTTTTCTCGGTTTAGCTGGTTACTATCGCAGGTTCATCGAGGGTTTTTCCAAGATCGCCCTCCCTCTTTCCCAGCTGACGAGGAAATCTGTGAAATTCGAGTGGACTGATCGTTGTGAGGCGAGCTTTCAGGATCTCAAAAGGAGGTTAACTTCAGCACCGGTGTTGACTATTCCCGATCCTTCTCGGAGTTTCACTATCTTCAGTGATGCTTCGAGACAGGGCTTGGGATGTGTCCTTATGCAGGACGGCCAGGTCGTCGCGTATGCTTCACAACAGCTTAAGCCTCATGAGCAGAACTATCCTACGCACGACTTGGAGTTAGCAGCAGTCGTACATGCTCTCAAGATCTGGCGACATTATATTTACGGCGGACATTGCGAGATTTTCACAGATCATAAGAGCCTGCAGTATATCTTTACTCAGAAGGAGCTTACTATGAGACAGCGCCGTTGGCTCGAACTTGTTAAGGATTACGACTGCTCCATTCAGTATCATCCGGGAAAGGCGAACGTCGTCGCGGACGCCCTTAGCCGAAAGGTGAAGGGTGATTTGATGTACGTCATTACGCAGCAGAGTCCGTTGATTCATGAGTTTGCCCGGATGCAGCTTCAGGCTATCGATACACTTCCCATAGCCGTTACGGGGAGTACCAGTGCCAGTGTCAGCGCCACGCAGCTTCAGCAGACGCTTAGAGAGAGAATCCGGCGAGAGCAGACTTCTGATGAGTTTGTTCGTGTCATGGAGGCCAAGGTTCGCGCCGGAGGCGTCGAGGGTTTTCAGTTAGGTGCCGATGGTGCCTTAGAGTTCAGAGGCAGGATCGTGGTCCCGAAGGTCGAGGCGTTGCGGAAGGAGATTTTATCAGAGGCTCATACCGCACCTATCTGGCCCATCCCGGGAGCACGAAGATGTATCACGACCTGAAAGGGTCGTTCTGGTGGTGAGGTATGAAGAAGGACGTCGCCGAGTTCGTCAGGAGATGTCTTACCTGTCAGCAAGTCAA